TTTCTCGTTTTTTTTTTAATTCTCAATAATCATTCAGTATGGAGCAAGAGACCATTTTCTCCTGCAATTTCCCATACTTTAGCAAATCACGTGTAACAGCAACAATACGACCATGAAATCGTTAGAAAAAATAGGTCTCAATAGTAAAACGGAAAACGGTTCTGATGTTCAGAGGATGTTCAAAACTTTTCTATCTTTAGGTGTTTTCTGTTAAGTAATAGAACTTCTACACACTGTACACTGAGGCGTATCCAATAAATTGCCTTAAGGAGGCATGAAAAAGTAATACAGAGGCAGGGGGTCTAGAGGCTGCCTTGAGGCCCCTAATAGATCTTGGACGAAGATCTGGTGGGGATTTCGGGAGGGGGGGGGGAGCTCATGGATTCTAGCAATGAGTAAATTTAATTTTATAATTAGCCTTTCTACTTGTATCCAGGTGGTAAGGTACACCCCCTAAAACGTTTTAGTAACATCATCAAATTATGAGAGGTTTTTTTCGTCATCAGTTTTTTTATTGTCAAGCTCATTTGCTCGTCATTGAATTGTGACTTGACTTCTTCTACTTACATTACTTGATATGAGCAAAATTGCACCCTTCTCCACCATGCACTTCATTGTGTCTAAAGATGCATTTTCATCAATACATCTTTTTTTTATGAATCATTAAATTACCAAATGTCACTTTTTGAGACTATTGAAAGCAAATTAAAGAATTTCTGAGGCAAGGAAATTGATGTCATAGTGAAATGTATTTAAAAAAATCTTGTAATTAAAGAAATACTTCGATGGGATATTTGAGGAAATTATAGAATTTAATCCAGAACTTGCATTATTTGCACAGCAAAGTCATTTTGATTCTATAATTTTTTTGGGTGAAGTTAATAATTTCTTGTCGATGGGCAATCGCCATTTTTACCTTTAAAGATAATATTTCTTCACTTTCCGAAGTAACTGAAGGCATTTAAAAGAATATCTGAGAAAAGTTAAGTGGCATCTATAGAATTGATATTTCTTAAGAATCATTTGGTAGCATGTAGCCGATGGCAGGTCTGTACTATGGAAAGCAACGATTATGGAAACCATTTTCCAGCGATGTACATTGCTTGAAATCAACTATACCCCAAGTAATGTTAAATTAATTGTGAGAGTATGAAAACTTTTTAATATAAAAATTATCTATTTCAAGGGATTTAGACATCATCATTTTCATACATGTATAATGACAGTTTTCTTCGTATATATTTTTTTAAAATCCATAAGAATAAAAATGGCAAGGATAGAATCATTTTAATGTTTACATTCTTGGTGAACTTTCCTTAATTATGTAGCATTATACCATTATCACCTGCATATAGTATTTATGTCTCCAAGCTGAATGGATACGCATGTTCTACGTACGAACAATGTCTTAACCGAGGCAGGCTACTTTCAAATAAGTTGATGATACAACCTCGTTAAATGTTAATATTTTGTAAATTCTATTACTTTTTGCAAACACAAATATGCCCTTACAAAAAAAAAATACTATAGTAAACTATAGTTAACTATTGTTTACTATAGTTAATAATAGTACCAAAGTAAAAACTTTGGAACTTTGATTTACAATAGTAAAAACTTTGGAACTTTGATTTACTATTCTAAAAACTTTGGAACTTTTATTTACTATAGTGAAAACTTTGGAACTTTGATTTACTATAGTAAAAACTATGGAACTTTGATTAAGAGCGATAAATCCCGTGGAATTATGTTTTTGATTCCCAGTCTTTACATTTTATGATATTTCAAGTTTAAGATTCATAAAAGCTTTAGAGAACATTTTAAAAACCCGACTCTTCCCCTAAAAGAATAATGTACAAGATATGAATTTTAATGTAAAGGTTGTCGCTTGCGCCGATAAATAAGCAATATTTATTTTATTTTTTATTTAATTTTAATGTTATGCAGATGTAACATAAGTCTTATTTATGGAGAAAAAATAATATATTATAAAAAAAATTGTGTCAATATCTGCTTCATCAACTTCAGTCAACATGTATTTTTTTTTTAAAATTTATAAATGTAAATATTGCATTTGAATTAACTACTTTTGTATATTTAAATAAAGATGTACAACAAAGCCCAGCCCCAACTAACCCCATATCCACCCCCTCCCCTAAAACGGCTAAATGATAATAAAAAATTAATATAAAAAATACATAAGTTGTTAAACTAGCGAAAAAACTTTGAAACTTTGATTAAGTATAGGGAAAACTTTGAAACTTTAATTAAATACAGTAAAAACTTTGAAACTTTAATTAAATACAGTAAAAACTTTGGAACTTTGATTTACTATAGTGAAAACTTTGGAACTTTGATTTACTGTAGTAAGAACTTGGGAACTTTGATTTACTATAGTGAAAACTTTGGAACTTTGATTTACTATAGTGAAAACTTTGGAACTTTGATATACTATAGTTAACTATAGATTACCATAGTATTTTTTGTTAGGGTGTTTTTAGGTCGAAATTGACTTGCTTTTTCATACAAATTGCTTGGTCATTATTTTAATACTCAATTGTCTTCGGATTTCTCCGTGTACCCGATCATGACAAGGAGCTCAAGGCGGATATGTGTTGTGACAATTGACAGGGGATGTCTACCCCTCCTTGGAACCTGATCCCACCTCTGATGTTTACAGGGGTTCGTGTTTGCTCTGATTTCAATCTTGTTTAGTTGGACTTAAGAGCATGATAAGAAAGTCTAAAAATATTTTTGTGAGCATTAAGTTTTCGAACTACCGAATTTGAAACATAAACTGCGTTAAATTAATGTGCGTAATATATACATAAAATCAATGGTAATGTTTTAATGCATTTCCTATAGTATTTAAATTGAATATGGTGTATTTTTGTATCTTAGAAACATTCTATCAAAGACTACAAACTGTTTATTACATTTACATCAGAATTCTTTTATTTTTCATTTGGATATTGACATCTTTAAAGTTTCTGAACATATGAAATCCAAATTCCCTTAAGATAATTTGCATTCATCATTGTTGACGACCAAAGTATTATAGATTTGAAAGTGTAATGTTTAAAAAAAGTGATAACAGTAAATCTGACGTCCAATGCTTAGATTTATGTTGATTGATGTTTTTTTTTACACAGTTGCATTTCAAGAGATTTAACGTTGGATAGGTATATCGAGAGTATAATGCACTACACGTTTAAATTCGAACCATGTACCAAAAGATTCCATCTTTTATGAGTGAAATTGTGATCGAAATTGAAAGTATATAGGAGCGACATTGGATCTTACGCAAATAAAATTTATGTTTTACATTAAAGCCGCAAAAGTATTGAGTGGCAATATGTAGGTTAAAAGCATTAATGACAGGAAGGACGCATTTAATTTTCGCATAAATGTACCAAAGGAAATTTTATTATTTCATATTCATTGGTGTCTTAAAAAGCTGAAAGAAATTACCAGAGAGGAAAACGTGTTTACTTTGTGAAATTGATCAGTGTTCAATAGCGAGATAATGAAATGTAAAGATCTATCTGCACTAATTCAAACGTTTTTGTGACTGGCATTAAAAGAAGCATTTCTCAAATATTTAAATATTATGAAACTTGGGATGAACGTCTTTTAATTTGTAAATACATTGACGAGAAATTACTCGCTTGATCGAGATTGGAAGGTAAAAGGCCCTGTGTATATAAAACCACATGTCTTATTTCGAATCTTTAAATTGATAGACATTTTACGTTTAAATACACATCAACGTTCAATCTTACTGGCCTGCAGTGGGAATCTCTTTAAGCTAGAGTTTGTTGTTGGTTATTTTTTTATAAGAGTAAGCTGTCATGAATATTTTGGAAGATTTACCTAATTCTAGCAGGAACAAAATGGGATCTCTACCTCAAATTGTAATTACGAGGTAAAATTTTGAGATTTAATTCTTAATTACAAATGTAATTAATTTCATATTTCGCATGAAATTGATAGCATTTTCTAAAAAAAAAAAAATTAAAAAAAGAAATAGTGAAAGCGGTATTTTTTGCATATTGGAGAAATGGTGTACATTGTATCTATATAATGCTTTTCATAGGAATTTCAATACAGAGCTGTATAAAAGCAAAATTGACACTTTCATGTGAGTGCAATAATCATCTTGAATTAAAGGGAAAAACTGTGTAAGCAGATGTTCGAAAGATTTATGTTGCACAAATTTTCCTATATATTCGCTCGTTTGATGATAATTATCTATAAGATTTGATGACTGCATAGTTATAGATCTAGTGTTTTAGATCGAGCGTGTCCATTCTAGTTGATGATAAATCCGTAGATGAAGTGGAGCTTAAGTGTATGAGAGTATGATTAACTTGCACTATTTTTTCTTTCGCTCTTTCTTTATCATCACCTCGCAACGGAGTTGGAGGGGATTTAATATGTGAGCGCATGGGTTAGTTTTTCCTTGTGTGCGTAATTTTCATTGGGATTGATGTCAAATGATGTCTTGATTTATAGATATGTTCGTTTGCGATGGGATGCTCCGCTTTGCGGTTCCCTTGTTTTCTGTATAGACTTAAAATATTCTTGGCACATTTCACATCTACAAGATATTGTATATTGTAATAACATGGCTACAAGGACTATATTGACTTATAACGTAGATATAAAACATTGCCTCCTGGTTATTGGCTATACATGAAGGCAAAATCTCAAGTTTATTTTGTTTATATTCAGTAAAGCCTTCAGTTAGAGTTCATACATGATGTCAACATCTAGTATAGATTTGGACTTTTTACTCAAAACTTGAAGTCAAAGTAATGACACACCTTTTTGTTATGTACAAAAATAAAATTAAGTTTGAATGCATTCTACACAGAGGTTTAAAAGATTTAACCGTGGGAAAATTAAATTTTGCATTCTTGGCATCAGTGTTTATTGGAGTGATGATGCACTGTCTAGTCACACTTATAATTGCAATTAACCATTAGTTGTTTCTTTTTAAGGGCTTCTGGAAGCAACCCGTTTGATCCTAATGCCCACAGTCAATATGCAGGAGAAAAGTTACAGGTATTTCTCATCATAGACCGGAAATAAAACATTTCAAAGACGCAGCCGCATGTACATTTTTATCTCACCACAAAATTAAAACAAAAATATGTTCAATTTCAGAATTTTTGATACGAGTTCATGCCGTTATTTTCTGAATTAATTTCAATATATATATCTGGGTAGGACAAGTTTATTCTAGGACATTGTTCGAATAAAGTCATTATTTTTCCTCTTTTTACATTTATAGGTGCGTTTGGTTACACTGGATGAAAAATACAGAAGCCACTTGTTACATCAACAGATCAAGGCTTTCGAAGAGAAAGTGTACACGTCCTACGACAACTTTAACGTGGACATGATGTTGAAAATGTTCCGTGAACTTGCCAGAAGATGTAAAGGATCCCAGGACATTTATACAATAGGCGGAATTCGACAAGCTATCAATCAAGAAATTCGAAAACTACGCATGCGGAAAAGGAACAAACGACTTCCTCTTTCGGAGGACATGGGCACCGAAAATGATGACGTAATGGAATATTTCAATTGGTTTTTCAAGAATCTGTCCTATTTACGAGAACTTAGGAACAATTTTGCCAGTCGCATATTCAATCCTTTGTTTAAGTACTTTTATAATGTTTCTCATGGAGGGCCGGACCGTGAACGTTCAACTGATTCAGCCATGTCTATGTCGAATCTAAGTGTGGCGTCCCATCGTTCTTTTGACAGTGGCATTACGGGTATTTCCGGTTGGAGTTCTTTCCGATTTTCGGATTCTGAGAGCCAAGCTTCGGGAGATGGCGATATTCAGAGTGCTCGGAAACACATGATCTCGAAAGCCGCTCTCCAACTTTTAGGTCGAGAGCTACGGGATGTGAAGAATTTATACGACACGACCGAGCTTGAAAAGACGGCCCAAAGACTAGCATTAATTAAGGAGCAGCTTGATTATCTCATTGACAACGAAGACGCCATTAACCAAGCTCTCTTCAGTCAGGATAGCGAAAGGGTGGTGAGCCACCTTAAAGTTAAGAACTCTCGGACTTATTATCTAATGCGATTGATCCCTGATATTCTTGTTAAATTCCAAATTTGTGCATGGCTAGCCAGGAAATGGTTGGAAATTGACGACAAGAAAACAAAAGATCTGAAAGAAAGACTTGCCAAACTTGTATCGCTGGAGGATCAATTATCCAGGAGGTTGAAGATGCTGTCCACAGACATCCAGAAGCATGAGAAAAAACTAGAAAAAGAAACAAACGAACTACAGAAGCTCTTAAAAAGAGAAGAGCGAACAAACGAATTAGAAATGACACTTCATGGCTATGAGAATCGGGAAAGAGACTTAAAAGATTACATTCAGAAACTGGAAAACGAGAAACAGGAACTTACGACAAAGTTAAACAACATGATCAAAGAAAAAAAGACAGGGGAGTCCAAAGCTCTACAGACAATGTTGGAGAGGAACAAGCTGCAGCTCTTTGCGATGGAGAGACAGCTGGGGACTCTGAACTACCATAAAACCATCGTACAGAACGACATGCAGGTAGAACTAGAGGTGAAAACAAACATCATCCACTTCACAAACGACGTACAGGATCAGTGCGAAGAGCTCGAAAAGATGTTAGAGACGGAGAAAAAAGAGAAAAGGACTATACAGGCCGCTCTCATTCCTATAGCCCAAGACTCGGAGGAAATCAGAGAGCGCCTGCGCGAGAAAGCATATCCGGTAGAAGAAAATGAAGGCATTGTTGCTCAGTATATTGGGAGTAGTAGGATCCCGCTCTCTACAATGAGTGTCGTAGAAATGAAAAAGAGGTTTGCAGCTAAAAATCCTAATCCCAAACATATTCCCGTCTTTGAGAGTCCGCGAAAAATGAACATATTTAAGACTGAGATTGAGCCTTATCCTAAAACTCCTGAGTTTGATTTTTGACATTTTATTAAGTTGTTTGGGAAACTCGGTTTCCTCTGTTTCCTCTGTTAACTCTGCTTGGTATGCTAGAAATCATATAGATGCTGTGAGATTTTTAATTTCAAAGAATTAATAAGGATGATATTTAGTGAATAATTCTTTATGTTTTTTTTTAAAATAATAATAAATTAGTACTCTTCGTGGGGTCAAATGATCGTGGTTTGACAAAAATATATTGGTTTGTGGGGATTAGAATTCGTGGTTGAAGAATTATTAAGTTGTAATATATATTTTAGATTCAACATTTCGTGGAGGTCCTAAATTCGTGGGTCTTTTCATACCACAAAACAACGAAAATTATCCCCCCCCCCCCCCGAAATTCAGTGATTTCACAGTATTTTTTTTTCTTAAAGATAAGCGAAGAAGCCGAAAAAATGCCTTTGGTTCGACAAAAAAGTGAAACATAATACAGAATTGTAACACTATTTTCTTTGAAATATCAGCTAACTTTAATGTGTACTTTATGTTATCTCCACCATAGTAAGTTTTGTTTGTCATAATTTCATACATTTTAATATTTAGAACTCAGTATACTTAGTTCACAAACTGAATTTGATTTTTATACGTCTGAAACTACGGGCATTTTGCATTCTTTACAAGAGTTTTTCGTTAAGTTTTCATTATATTTGCCAGTGTATGGGACTGATAATTTAATATTTGCTGTTTTGGAAAAGAAATTCAGTTAGGTTGAACATATCTTCTTTTGTGCTATACTTTCTTTTAAAATCCTATTCAAAGTACCATTGATAAAATTAATGATGTTGATTAAACATGCATTACTCAGAAACATTTTGCTTTTATACTCTTCTAATGGCATTGTGTATCTGTCTTTAACTCTCAAAAGAAAGTAGGAATGCTAGTTTTTAAACCCCTGATTATAGATGTAATAGATTTAGACATGCCTACCTTATGTAAAGAACAAACATTATATGTATATATTTATTTCCTTGAACTGAACATTAAAGAAATGATTATTAAATAAATATCAGTGGCATTCATTTAGATTTACCGGTATCTAAGTATATTTAAGCAGGACCCTCAATGGTTCCTTCAAGGAATATGATTTATCGACATTACGTTTAACAGCTTCAATTATACGTACAACTATTAACCTGTAAGACAGCTGCTTTGATATGAAATCATTGAATGTTCAGACTATACTAGTCATGCAATCTGACGTTCATGATTCAGTGCATTCCATGGTAAAATGTTTTAGTGTTGGGGAAATAAAAATGATGATATCAATAAATTACTGGTGAGCTCTACATCTTAAGAAAAAAAAGATCGTTTTTCGTAACTGCAGAAGGACAATGGATACTGTATTCAATGTTTGCCAAAATATTTTTCAGACACAGCAACCAATTGTGCCTCAGATGTGAGCCTGCAGTTTGAGGACGAAGCACCATCTGCTCATTTGAACATATTTTTTTTCTGAATTCATAACAATTTTCTAAAAGAGGATGGAGATAGAGCAGGCAAACTGAGCTCTCCATAAATCAGAGACATTGAGACAATAACAACTGGAGATAAAAATATTCTATTAGAAACGAAGTCCGAGATAAATTTTGGAGTTATCTTTCTTGTCATATCTCCTTAAAGAAATATTTACTCTGTGGGTTGTCGAATCAAATGTACACAAGGATATTACAAATAATGGTGTGTTTCTGTAGAATATTTATTTTTAAAATTCAGATCCCCTAGCCTATATTTGACGAAATACATCGTTTTCTTGTTTTTTTAAGCTTCCACTTCAAAGTGCAAGACATGAGCAAGGGGGTTTTGAGATCATGTTTCGATGATTAGTTAACGAAGAACAATAAGAGATTAAGAACATTTAATGCCGAAGATGGTTATAACCTCTTTATAATAAGTTAATGCTTAACACTGAAACATAGACAAATAAAATGAAACTTCATGAATTATAACAAAATACAGGAATATTTTGAAAGTTTTCTTATGTCCCTTTGCTTATTTGGGAGTCTACGAGAAATCCATTAAAAATCAAAACGTTTGTTATGGATGATGTATTCCAATTATAAACTTATAAAATGAGCTCATTATTTTTGAAATACGTACATTCAAGATGTGAAGTACTTTTTAAGTTTCATTTGGATTAACGAGTGAAAAATTTCACAATTGAGATTTTTGAATAAAGATAGACTTAGATAATAACACATTTTATTAAAATAAAATTTGATTGAATGATTTCATAACAAATTTATTTTCAAACATTCTGAGGTATGATGGCCGATAGTGGCCATCACTTTACACCAACGTTTTGTTTGTAACGTATTTTCACTGAAACTCACTGTCACCACGTTGCACCTAAAAGTAAATGTGTACAAAGTGTAGAGTATCATTGCAAAATTCCATGTACACTCTTCACCAACGTTTTATGTGTGTAAAGTGTTAGGGAAAGTTTCATATGCACTCTACATTTCAAGGCGGTATCAAATGTCAAAATAGATCCAGGGTTTCTTGGTGTTACCCACGCAAGTTTCCTCTTGGAGTTCACACAGATCTAGGAAAATGCTGACAAGGTTCCTTGGTAATTAAATAAATACTCACAAAGCATCAATTTGAAAATTGTTTTATTTATTTTAAACTTGATGTTTGTGTATAAAGAGATTGATCAAGTATCTTTTTTTCAGTTGATGAAATTCTTAACTAGTATTCTAAACGAAGTTATACCTACGGTGGGAATGAAAATTTACTGCAGAATGTAGTACAAAGTATGCATGTAGTAGATGTAGTATAAAACTAGTGTTTCATAAAAGGTTAAATAGGACAATCAATTGTATTAAATATACTTAAACGGATCTAGTTAGTAGTATTTGAAACCAAAGTTTTTAAAGTAATTTTCATAATAATATTTTACTATTGCTATAGGAAACGGCTTTGGATGAAAGTTTGTAATGCTTTTCAAAAGTTATAAAGCGAAACATTCTTTTAACATGGCAGCAATAAATAAGGGCATTTCCACATGATGAGAAAAGAAAAGAAGAAATGTTGATGTGTGTGAAAATAAACACTTTCCATTTTTCTTGACTGGGAAACTTGAATGCTAATGTATGAAATATATGGAGATAACGAACAGTATTCAAGCTCAAAAGTCCATTATACAATACAAAATAGGAGCAGAGCAAACACGGACCTCCAAACATCAGAGGTGGGATCAGGTGCCATGGAGGAGTGAGCATCCCCTGCCGACCGGTCACACCCGCCGTGTGCTCCTTGTCATGATCGGGAAATAACGAAAAAATCCGTAGACAATTCAGTGTGTAAATAATGGTCTAACAATTAGTATGAAAAACGACAGTCAGCATTTGACTCAATGATAAATTGTATTTGCTGACAAGGTCATTGTATCGACCGTAGAACTTACGAAATGATGACTTTAAACGAGATAGCTGATATTTTTGTTTCATCAACTTATTTGTCAATAATTTACCTCGTTTTAGAAATTGTACATACGTAGAGCATGCTCTTGCGTATCGAATCAACTGAGAGATATATACCCCGTATGCAGGTGATGAAGGTATATTGCTGCATAAGTAAGGGAAGTTGACGATTGAAAAGTTAAAGTCATCACGTTTATCATAAAGCTTGGTTGTTAGATTACCATGAACGTCTTTTTCAAGTAAAATATCCAAATAAGAAACAGATGTGTCAGACTCTGTGGTATCTTTTATCTCAAGTTCACCAGGATATATCGTATCGACATAAGAATGAAAATAGCCATTGTTAATTGACAATACGTCGTCGATATATCTAAATGTCGAGTTGAACGCCACAGCAAGTGTTTTCTTCTTTTCACGTACAAGATTTTGGACAAATTCTGCTTCATATGAATACAAGAAAAAGGTCTGCTAATAACAGGGCGCAATTGGTACCCATAGGAATTCCAATAGATTGTTGGAAGACCTGGTCTCCAAAAATCACATAGATATTGTCAATCAGAAACTCAAGCATCTTTTTAATGTCAACTTCAGAGTACTTGTGTGTACAATCAGAATGTTTTTTAACAAAATAATTTTGCAAATGACCAATGACAAGGTAAGTATATTTACGAGTTCCATTTTTATTGAAAAAGCAGCTGTCAATGATATCAAAAAGCCTGGACTTTAATTTATCGTGGGGAATGGTTGTGTATAAAGTTGAAAAGTCGTAAGTTTTTAAGCTGTTGATTTTGGTAAAATCTTGTGATTTCAAATTTTCCAAAAGTTCCATGGACTTTTTAAGTATCCACATCTGATTTTCACCACTTCTCGAATATATTGTTGCGCAGTACTCTTGAAGTTTCTCCTTCACCACTGTTAATATCTTAGTGAGGAGTAAAGATAGAGGCTTGGTTGAACATTTACTGGAACCCGCTATGTATCTTTGTTTGTAAGGATTTTTATGAAGTTTCGGAATCCAATATAAATATGGTAATTCGAATTCATTTTGGTTGTTTGGAATATTAAAAATATTCAAAACTGACATATGATTTTGAAGAATTTCATCCTTAGAAAGGGAACTATGAGTATAAGTTGGATTACCACTTGTAGAATTAAATCCAAGTTCCTCTAAAATACATTTAATATAATGAGCCTTACAAACAAAGACAATGTTGTTACCTGCAGGGACCAGTACGCACTGATCATGTAATCTATCTAATTCTTTTTTCACTTCTAGATTATTGAATGCAGAAGAATATGTGGTTTTCATATTGCCTCTCAATCTTTTAATGCGCGATTTTAACATACATCTGATACATTTAATCCATTCTGACAAAGTATCAAGGTCTTCTTTTTCATGTCTGGCCCATCGCCTGGCGTAGTCCTCTACAGAATCCATAATATTTATGAAATTCTTACGCCAGTTGAAGGATCTGGGTTCCCTAAATTTAGGACCTTTTAAAATTAGTGATCTAAGATCCTCATTATTAACTATATTTACGTCACTAGTAATAACGTGTCCAGCAGGACTATAGTTATAGGGCGAAGAAGAACATGAACACGATGGAGGATTATGTCTCAGATATTCGATATCCAGGCCCTGTAAAGTTTTCTTGTAATTAAAAAGTTTGGAAGCAATAGTCGTATATTTGTAGGAAATACAAGGTGTAGTCTTTAACTTGAAATATGGTGGAATACAAGACTGGACCCTTTTGTGATTAAGGATATTACTTATATTAACCGCGTCAATTCCTTTGTTGGCATATTGAAGTTTAAGGAAAAAACGGATTGTTTCAGCTGCATTTTCCTCAGTAAAACGCGGGGGTTTAAAAAGCCTGTGACTGGCAATATCCATAACTACAGATCCGGGCCTATATTCTGGTGTCGAGGAATCAACAAATGGACTTTTCTTGACCTTTTCAAGAAGACTATTTAAAAGTTTCAAAGGGACAGAGTAAAGTTTGGTGCGAATATGATGTAACCCTAACTGTTGATTTACGTAAGGTAGTAATGAATCAAAAGAGACATCGTGTATTAAAGGTTTATTGTAAGACCGATGCCCATGACTACGTTTACGTCTCTGTGTATGGTTAAAAAGTCCCATCACATTTACATTGTTACACTGTGGACTGGAAAGATTTCCAACACTATCGACATTATCATTACATCCATAGGAAAGGCTGTCCCTAGCTTTCTTATCCAAAATTCTTCTCGTTGTCTACGGAAAGGTATCTTTCCTACTGGCTGGCTGACCCGTTTTTCAAGCTGTGTTCTAAATAGTATTTTCGATAGTAATTACACAAAAGTTATCACGATCTGATTAAGTATATTAAACATAACTGACGATCCTGTCTTACCTTTTTTTAAAACACTAATTTAGTACTACATACAGGCATTGTACTACGTTTTATACAGTATGTTTTAATAGAATACTCATTTCCCAGAAGGTATAATTTTGTTTAGAATACTTAATCAGGAATTTCATCTACTGAAAAAATATACTGCGAAACCTGAACATT